GTAATCATAAGTTGTATAGTATTTTTTGAAAGCATATTTATCATTATCCGTACTTGTTAACTTCTTGTTATGTTTGGATACAATTTTTCTTTCACGATTTCGAGAGCACGGATCAATTGATTTGAATAATTTAAAAACTTTCGATTGGTATTGATGAGGAGACGTGCTGATTTGTTTTTGGCAAACTCAGGTCCAATAGGTTTGGAATATACGGGGTAAAAAGTTCCATGAATGGCAATTTTGAGAGAATGGAGCGTCCGATGTGAATGATTCAAAAGACATACCACATGTGTTCATTTAATGATGAATTGTTTAAATTTTTGAAAAGACAGATCCAGCGGGTTTGGCGATAACAGAAAAAATACTAACATAGAAAAAATTAAAATAATATAAGATCTCAAATGAGCTAACTGCAACATATATTTGAAAATTGATTAGAAACACAACGTTGATTAATTTAAACGTACGTTGTCATATGCTCAGATTAATTCAATATTCTAAATAACAAAAACCAAAATCTTTCAGATTAATATTTTTTAGATTTATTTAGACGATCATGCCCGGATGCCCAATTAATAGATCGGCTTTCGATTTGGACATTCTGAGTACTGTCAAAAAAATTCCTAATGTTGCATAGTAAAATAGGTGCAAACATACGAAAAGAAAATTCTACACATTTTACGGAACATAGCATAACATATTATTTGAAATGTTAATTACTCTTTTTTAATTAGTTTTTATAGTTTAGAAAATATTGGGAATAATGAAAACTTCAAATTTTGTTGCACATGAAAAAAATTTTCATGAAGTTTGTTAAACATACTTTCCAAAATGATTGATGAGATAGTAAAATGTTTAGCATTATAGAGAATATTTAGATAAATGAACATCCAAAAAAATGGACTACAAATATTTAAAAGTGTTTTTTTAAATAAATGTTATACCACCACAAAATGATGATCAGCTAACAGCATTTCATACTTATCTAAAGATATTCAAATATATTGTATATAAATTTTTATATAATTATAATAATTAACTTCCCGTAGGGTGTTTTATAGTATTCGCAAAAAAATCGAAAATGAAATTTTTGCATATTTTCACGTTATGAAGGTTTCTGAACATTTTGGCATACCTTATAAAAAATGGATGTACGTATGTGTGTGTATGTTTGGATACAATTTTTCGTCCACGATTTCGGGCGCACGAATCAACCGATTTGAATTATTCAAAAAGCATTTTACTTGTATTGACGAAATGAAAACTTGATGAAATTTTTGGTAAGGCAGGTCTAGCGGTTTCGGAGATACAGAGGAAAAAGTAAAAAAATTATATTTGGCGGTCAAAAATGATCGTTACACATATGCACATCGAATTATCAGATGCTTGATACAATTTTTGAAAATGAGTACTGATTTTGTTACAATTGTTTTGCAGCCCGTACCAAGATTGTTTATTTTTAAAGTTTACTTATACGGTTCAAGCTAATTTCAAAATTTTCAGATTTCTTTTTTCAAAATTTTCAATAATATACAAAGTTTTATACTTCAAGTATGATTTTTAAATTCACAATTCAGTTTGAAAATGTATATATTTCAAATGCGTTATTCTAATTGTAAGAAATATATCCTCAGATGGATTTACTCGGCATCTCTTGCTAATGTAAACATTCTCGAGTGTTTTGAGCCATAAGATATTTAGATATTTTATGAACGATAAAATATATAGTGATTTTGATTATCTATTTGAAAATTTTTAAAACAATTGCTATTAGTCATTGGTCAATATTTATTGATTACTGTTTTTTTCCTTGAATATTTAATTCTGGTACGGAAAGTTTTAGCAATTTGCCTTAAGGCACGGTGCTATGCACCACTAGTTATAATTGTATTTATAAGTGGATTATTTAATATAAATATGAATATGAACAAATTGAAAGTAATCGATTAACGGATCAAACGAATATTCAATAAAAATAACCAACAATTTAGTTTTGTTCGGACATAGTTTGAAAACAATGGCGAAGTGCGATTTAATCTGTATCGAATCAATGCGACTAGAATTAATTAAGCAAATCCATTATGATTGTGTGCCACTATAATAAAGGCAAATTGTTATGCATAAATAAATTCGCCGAATAGTGTCGCGTCATCGGCACGCGGTGTAAACATATCTGCCACCGGCAAGCGGCAAGCGGCAGCCGGTTAGCGGCGGCCGCGCGTTCGCCGGCCCGAGTCGCGTCACCGTCGTTTACTCTGGAGCGTTGCCGCTGGAGCAGTGCCCCGAGCTGCCACTGTGTTTTGGATGCCGTCAAAAGAGGGGCCAAGCGCATGCAGTTTATTTCGAGAACCGCCGCAATGGAAATCAGCTATAAGCTTTTCAATACTCGCGCGTTCGACGCACCGCACTCGAACGCACTAACAAATCCTAAACAGGGTTGACTATTGGATTATTTACTATGGACATCGCAAGAAAATTTATAAGTTATTATAGCTATTCAAAAATGATACAAACTCAATTAATATTTTTACAAATGCTAGGTCCAATCAAGTTATCCATTTTGCTAGTTGGATTCCTTAAGGATTTTATTATTAGCAGCTTATAGGGTTGGTGTTCGAACTTTTGCTTTTAACGCCGTATTTAAATGGATAACCCAAAGTGGTTTCCAACCTTTTTGGTACCGCGCCCCACTGCTCTAATAAAACATTTTGTTGCGCCTCTCTTAATTTTTTCAACAGTTTAATTTTATAAATACTCAGCAGCTATTATAAGACTACAAATTAATATGCAATATTATGTAAAAATATGCATAAGAACTAATTATTTTTTGTTCATTTTTTAATATCATTTCAAAAATTTTTGGTTATTTTCGAAATTAGTATTCTGAAAACAGGTATTCGCGCCACCCTTAGAACAACCTGGCGCCCCTCCAAGGGGGCGCACCCCACAAGTTGGAAACCGCTGGTTTGGAAACCGCCCATATACTTTTATGGACTGGCCATTTTATTATTACAATTTATTATTAATCATATAGAATTATAATATAATCCAATTTTATTTCAGATAATGATAGAGCATATTTTTAGAAGTATAAACTATTTCAACATATATGCTTAATTAATAATTCTATGATGGGGTAGGGTGGGATACAAAGGTCCAATTTGACTTTGAGCAATTATATTACAAACCCCAAATCAATTATATTACAGCAAATAACACATATCAAACAAACAACTATCTGACCATGTTCAGTAAAACTCACAGCTAAATCATCAGAGTAATGCGTTTTTTTCTGTTTTTCAAAAATCTATAACCTACTTCTTTTTACTTCATAAGCAGGTAAAAAAGTCCAATGTCTTATTTTAATTTTATAGAGATTTTACAAAATAATAGCTACATTATTCAACCAATGTAAAATTTAAATTTCATAGGTGATTTTTTTACAGAGATAACACTTTGAATAATCTTGATCTGGTATTTCGTTAAAAGTAGTGTTGGAATAGTTATTTATTTATCTTTTGCAAAATAGCCTTTTTTACCTTAATTTACTTTACTTACTATTTTATTATTTTTCACACCTTTACCTGGGTAAAGGTTTATTTGGTCCTTTTTACCCTGTCCATATGTAAGCTCTTATAGATCCAACTTAACATTACATAACTTAAAATTGAATTAACGATATATCTTATAAAACAATTAAATAACGTTTACATAAAAAATATATTAAGAACTCGTAAACTAAATACAAGTGCTCACAATTAAAAAAAGTAATAATGAAAGATAATACTTTTGTTATGGATTTTCAAACATTGTTCCCGATAGCAGAAAAATTGTAAGAATCATATGGTTATATATATTTTGCTCTCTACTTTTAAATAATGTTGGTAAAAAACTCGTTACTTTACTGAGATATTGCTGGTGGACCTTTTCACCCACGGACCTCAAAGCCCCGCCCCACCCTATAGTGTTTTTAACTTCCCGTAGGGTAAGTTATTGTAATGGGCCGAAAATCGAAATTGAAATGTTTTACATTTCTCGACGTTTTGAAGGTTTCTGAACGTTTTCGCATACCTCAGAAAAAATGGATGTGTGTGTGTGTGTGTGTGTATGTATGTATGGATACAAATATTCAGTCACGTTTTCGGGCGCACGGATCAACCGATTTGAATGGTTCAAAAAACATTCGATTCCTATTGATAGGGAAAAGAGCTGATTAGTTTTTGGCGAAGGCAGGTCCAGTCGTTTCGGAGATACGGAGCAAAGAGTGCAGAAAATAGAAATCGACTTTTTGAGAGAACGGAGTATCCGATTTGACTGATCTAAAAAACATTCAATTAGTAATGATTCGGAGAAGTGTGTATTAGTTTTTGGCAAAGGCAGGCCCAGCCATTTCGAAGATACGGAGCTAAATATGTAAAAAATGGCAGTTTTTGAGAGAACTAAGCGTCCGATTTAAATGCTTGTCTTAACAAAATAATTGATTTTGGAAAAAAAAAATTGTATAATTTTTTTTTTTTTTTTTGTATATCTAAAATAATTCAGATTTTATTTTTATTCTGACTATAGTTCTAATATAACTTAAACAAATAATTTCAAGTTTGCAATTCAGTTTATATAATTCTTATAAATATTAGACAATGTTACAATATTTATAATAATCTATTTGAAAACATTCAGTATTTCTCGAACATTTCGTTACGGTACGGGAAGTTCCAGCAATTTGCCTTAAGGCACGGTGCCACCCACCCCACTAGTTTTTTCAATTTTTGGCATGTAACCCCTCTTTTTGTTTTAGTCATTTATTTTGTATAACACGGATTTGCATAACGCGGTGGTTTGTTAGAATGTAACCACCATGTTATTCGGGGGTTACCTGCATTTCATATTGAAATTTCAATGCCTGATCGTCGTAGATGCTAAGCCCTGTCCTCAGGCGATTCCGCAGTTAGGTGTACTACGTGTAGTAAATAAGTGTCAGCGCACACACCACCAAACGTCTACCCATATAGCTCTTGTTTAGGGCCCCTACATAAAAGAAGCTATAACAGCCGGTGTTGTTGCTGCTACAGTTTCAGTACAAAAAACTCATAGTTTGATTACAATACAAAAATTACTTATAGTATATAGGACTCTGTAAATATAATAAACCGAAATCTACTGTATCACTAGAACAAGCAACTATAAAGCATTCCTCGAGTACTTGTCCAGTTTCAATTGTGCTCTCATAAGGTGTTTGATATTCTATCGGGAACAGTGTCATCAAGACTAAACTGACAAAATGGTAAGTCATGTTTTCAATTATTATTCAATTATCATTATTATTTTTAATATGGACTACGGGTCTTATACTTAACATTGTTATGCTTTCTTGAAATCTTCCACACAATCTAATATCGGTCGTAAGAATCTACATAATTTGTGTTTTTATACTGGTAATGAAAATAAAATGTGTAATAATTAGTTCCTCATATTTCATAAACGGTTTTGTAATATAAATGTTATGAAATCATATGCTCGTACAAGTGTGTAGAATTTTAATTTAACACTATTTATACAATCACAAAACAATGTGAATTTAGATCATAAGGTAATGTTATAATATGCTACTATAGTTTTATATTCACATAATTGTAATGCTCAGTATATTGTATTTTTAATATGTGATTCTACAAAAATAAACAACAGATTTTATTCAACAATTATTGCTGCATGAATCTCATTAAATTGGAATTTTAAATGGGTAGATAGCCTCTGTCAACTCTTTCAGGTCACATTCCAAATATTTCTATATTTTACGAAATAATTAAAAAAGAATTTAATTTTTTATGAAAAAAGCACAAATCTTAATTCTATAACATTGTTAAGACTAACAATATCAATATTTCTGATCTTTGCCATACTTTTCAATCTGAAATAACATGTTCATACACAAAAGTGCGAATATTATAGGACGAATTAATACCAAAAACCTTGTTTAAACAGATTTTTTTTTGACTTATAGTTACTGATTTTCAGGTTTCCTATTTTTTCGATAAAAAACAAAAATTCGGCAATTAGAGGATTAATTTAACAACCAATATTAAATTTAAAATCAAAGTAGACGAAATAAGTTAGTTCGTGATTAAAGCTTTCAAATATATGAATATGCTAATAACTATAAACATTATTTATATAATATTAATAAATATTTATATAATATTAATAAATATTTACATTATTTAATAATTTTCTTTTAATGATATCATGGACAATCAATTATATCAATTATATTAAACTAGACAACAATCATATCAATTATATTAAACTAGAATTACAAAACGTGATCTGTTGGTATGAAGTTTTAAAACGTAATTTTTACTCTAGTATTTATGATCCTTCGTATTTTTAATGTTGTTAGTTATATATATGAGTTGAAAATTCATTCATTCATAGAAGATTTTTTTTTAATTTAAAATTACCTTAATTTTTTTTAACTTAATACATGGAACCAGTTCATAATGACAAAATTAAGTTTAATCTAATTTATTCATATTTAGAATATAAAATGTTAGAAATCATATGTAGTACGTGCCGCATATTTTAAACATATAATTAGGATAATTTTAAAATAGCAAAAATGATGTTAAGGTTAAAATGTTATGGTAGAAAAAGCTCGGTTTTTGATAACAAACTTCAATCTTGAACTTAGAGTGGATATATCTGTGTGTTTAAAGCTAGTGTTATTGTTTCTGGTTATATAGCGATTTTATAAAAATTAATCTGTCTGTTATTTTAAATTATGTTTTACTCAACATCACAAAATTTTATTATAGTTAAAACATAACATTTATTACCATCAATATTTAACAAATTATAAACGCTATTATAAAAACCTAGCATAAGCTGTAATTAAATAAATTTTATAGCGCATACATAAAGCTATATAAATTTCGATAAACATCCTGGCTTGAAATTTTATTTTGCAATAAAATTTAAATATCGAGAATTCTCGTTCAGACATAAATCGCTTGTATTTCACTGCGCTAATAAAACTGACATAAAATAAAAATAATCATTCTTTAATTGTTGCATGCAAGTGGATCATCTGTTTTTTTTTCTGTTGATATGTTTCATTTAATTCAAAAACTTTAGGCTTAAGCTGATATTTGATACGCGAGCGATAAGAGCAGTTCATTTAACTTCATTTATAAATAGAGGACTCAATGCAAAATTCAGTTGCACTTCTCGAATTTATTTTCGGACGGCTAGAACCGTCGAATTGTATTAATGGCTTATGCGGCCCAATAACAGACTAATCCTCGGCTTAGTAAAGGACTTTTATTTATAACGAACAGCGGCACATTTAATTTAATTTAATCCTTTTTCTTTGTACTATTTGTAAACAATCTCCCGTTCTGTCAGGAAATACTAAAACAATTGAAATTAATCAGCTACATAATATTTGAAAATGGAATTTGAATCATGGAGGAAACGAGTTATGCATTTGAAGGATATCAAACCGCAATGAAGGAAAAGCTTAATTTCAATATTGGAAATAGTAAAATATTATAACTGTTATAAATTTTAAAAAATGTACGTTTTGAAAAAAAAAATTCAAAGAGAGAAACCGAAATTATATATAAAATTTTCTCGGCACAATGTTTGTTATCGTACTTCTCCGAAACGGTTTTACCGATTTTTATCAAATTTTATATGGGTATTCAGTAGGTCTGAGACTCTATAGTAGCTCAAACTACTAATTATTTTTCAGACCCCTAAGTCTATTCGTCGGCTTTTTCTTTTGTTTTTTTTTTTATTTTTTTGTTTCTTCTTTTTTTATAAGGTGGAATCAAAAAATACATACAACCTTAAATCTTTACTTTTTTATTACTAACCCCTATTTTTATATTCATTTTAGTAATTTAATCTTTTTTTTATTGCGCATTCAGTCAATGAATATTTCTGACATAATTTTAGTTCAGATTTTTTTGAGTTTATGATAATATATAGTTTTACTTATATACCACATCTGCAAAACAGTTACTTATTTTTACACTAGAAATAATTCATAAGGCAAAAGAACGTTTGCCGGGCCAGCTAGTAACTCATTCAATATCAGAATACAAAAATATATATTTGCTTTGAGTATCAAACTTTTTATTTTAATAATTAAAGCAATTTTTTTAACAATAATTTTAAAGGTAAATTTTAATATGTACATATTATTTCAGCATTATAATGAAATTTAATTTTGTTTTTTCAAATCTCTGTTTAAAATCTAATATCTGCGGGATTTTGGAAACTTCTTTCTTATTTTCTTGGAAATTTATAAATATCAGATGATTTTTATCATTTTTTATTAATTCAAATTAATTTATTAATTCTCTCATAAATATAACAAATGTTATATTGCAGCATAAATTAATATTAAAATTTGCCCATATAAATCCTTCTTTAATGTATGTGAAGATGATCAGGATGTATTGAAACGTATTAAAAAAGTATAATTGATTTTTGATAGATTTCAATAAATTACAAGGAATGTTAAAGTATAACAATGTATACTACTATTGGCACTTAACAAGTTGAATGCAGTTTGTGTTCGAGTGCCAAAATAAACAAAATATGTTTATGTATATATATATATATATATATATATATATATATATACGTGCAGTAACGCTATTAACCAAATACCTAAACAATTTATCAAACATGATGAAATTTCCAACAGAACAAATAAGCACGATACTAAATTTTAGCTGATAAATCATGTCTATCCAATTGAAATGCATATGTTTTGAGTGATCCTGAAGTACTTTCTGTTAATGTTATACTACAAACCATGTTTTTTTCTAAATCAGTTTTACTCACAATGAACTATGATTATTACTAAATCATCCTAAAGCTGAACCTTTTCAGAAAGACTGTCTGCATCAGCACATGATTTGTATGAATCATTTAAAAATGATTTGATCCAATTGATAATGCGTGAAAAGTTGATTAGCTTTTGATTTTGAGCTAATAAATAAATGCCCTAATTATTATAAATAATTATATTTTTACATACTCTTCCAAAAGTGTATAAAATAAAAACTACGTTAACCAGAACTGTGATTGACGAATATACTCGTCATGGAGATGTAGCAGAATTTTGTGTATTGACGAGTATATTTGTCATGTGGACAAAACCGTAACTATCTGATTTGAATTAATTTTTTTTTGATATTTTATGATTTTTGATTAGTTGTGATTGTATGAAATAAGAAGTTATAAGTGGCATTTTACCACAAGGAAAGTTTCATGAACTTTCTGCATGAAATGTGGGAATAATATACTTAATCAAAAAGATTTAAAAAATAATTTTTTTAAATAACATTTTTTACTGTTTATTTTTTAAAATAGTTTTTGCTTTTCATCGAAAACTGTTCTCACTTTACTACTGGTTTTTATTAGCAAAAACTGAATCATTCAAAGGTTGAAACAATAAATAATCTGAAAGCCTGTATGGTGGATATGACAAAACATCCCAACCAAGATCTGATAATTTTTGTCGAGTGGCCAATGATATGTGATGTCAATGACTTAAGGAATCAAAATTAACATTGTTTAATTTTGTTAGTTGTTTAATGTATGTAGATATCAGAATTGATCGTCCTGTTGGTAATAACGGATCAAAGTAGATAATTCCCTTTTAATCAACTTCAATTGGACGACCAGAGCGTTTTTCATCTTTGAGCGAAATGTCACCAGAACTGAATTTGGCAAACCAATTTTGACACCACCTTTTTTTAAGGCTTTGTCACTATTAACAACTCAACTTTATGCGAGCTTTTTACCTTTGCATAAATAAAAAAGTAAAATATGACAAGAAAAATGTAATTTGATTATCCATCTTTTAACGAACGCCAAACAAAAACTGCACAATCAATCAGAAAACTTATTTTTAAAGACTTAGATCTAAATTGCCTACTATCTATCAACAAAAGGTTAGATTTACTTTTGGACTACGTCAGCAAACTTGCAAATTCAATTGTAATCGTCTAAGTTAAAAACCGCACTTACTTAGTTGCTAACTTTAATAATTTAGAATGCTTACTTCCTTGAATAACATCATAAATTAAATGGAAATGAAACCCTATGTGGAATTAATTTTAACTATGTATTCACAACAACATTTGAAGATCAAAAATTCATTATAGGAACATAATGCAGTTAATTAAGGTTGTGGCGATATCAAGCAGGCACGTTTTGATTTGTAAAAAACAATCGGACATGTCATGTATATTTTAGATATCGAAATATTTTTATAGTTAATAAATTTATATTTTTTTTATTATGTTGGGAGTTTCTAATTAAATATATTGTCATAATCATTACGACTCCCACATTGGTGACTCACGACGATGGAGATGAAGATAAAGGAGTTTTATTTTTCGAAGATTTAAGAAAAATTGATTTTGACGCAGCACCATAATCACTGGTCTTCAGTGACGACCTATAAGGTATGTCCAGTCCAATCCATCATAGTTAACGCACTTACTATCTGGATCAGACTTCCGAGGTTACTCATTTGGTATACCCAGACCTCAGTGTTTATTGCTGACAGAAAAAATAATTTGGAGCCTGAACTTTTCATTGGAATGCAATTCAACCTCTCTTTCTCTGTTAACTCAACAAATCGTCTTATAATGCTACCTCCCATTATCGGTGATAACGACGAATCAAAACAAAATTTGACATAATTTATTGGATTCCACAATTCTGGACTCTTATGTCAAAGAAACCAATGATCCTGATTTGGATAAAGAGCCAACTTCTTTCTCTGATCGGAACTCATCAGATACGAATGCAACGCTTGCAGAAATGGAAACTGTACCCATAAATTATGCATTCTAAACATTAAGTTATTCTGATATAACTAATACCCATTAGATCGAGAACATTATGCAGAATATGGAGTTGATGGCAGATCAAATCACCACATACGGTGGATCTGCTGACGAAACATGGAAATTTGTAATTGACCAGTATTACAACACTTGTCTGCTATAATCTGCTTTCCCACCACATTTTTATAACGTGTTTCCCTGTATTTTTTTTTTTTTTTTTAAACTGTGAGATCAACACTGGGCAGGAAGTGTGTGGCGATATCAAGCAGGCACGTTTTGATTTGTAAAAAACAATCGGACATGTCATGTATATTTTAGATATCGAAATATTTTTATAGTTAATAAATTTATATTTTTTTTATTATGTTGGGAGTTTCTAATTAAATATATTGTCATAATCATTACGACTCCCACAAGGTTAATAAATTTTAGTTTTGTAATACTAGACTTTGAAAAATATTTAGATGACAGATATTGTTTTATATCAAAAGTTTATTACTTCAAATTAATTTCACTGAATCATAAAACATTTAGTGCAATATCTATATATTCGCTTTTAACAGTTAGTTTTGCTAAATATCTTTATCGCAGGCGATTTAACAAAAGTCGTAAATAAAATGAGCGCAAGATCAGTCATATGTAACAACTGGCATCATCGCAACAGAAATCATGGTTCATAAAACGCGCGGATGCCATCAATCACATGTGGATCTTGCTTCACTCGAACCAAATTATTATCGATTTGCTTTCTACAATCTGTCATAGTGATACACAACAATTTTTAAAAAAGGGACACTTTTAACATTGCATAGTTTCTACAAACATCATCCTACAACCTCCTAGGCATGTACCTTGAAGAAGTGTATGGGTAGATGATGTTTTGCTGTTTTTTATGTATGTAGCTTTGGATATCAGATTTCTGCTGTTATTTTATTGCTTTTATTACTTTTAACTATTTGCATACATAGATTATTTTAGAATTGGAATATAAAATTGCTCTGAATAAACCCTTTGAAATATTTGCGGATGTGAATTTTGTTCGAGAAGTCATAATGTAATATTTTAGTTAAATTACAATAGGTAATGGATGGATTACTTTTTATAAAAATTTGTTTTTTTTTTTGTATTTTTTGAGTAATACTAAAACATGTTTAACATTGTGTTCGATGAAAAATTTTATAGTATTTGTACAATGAGTTTTTAATTTAAATTTAGAAGTATCATCATGACCAACGGTTTTACAGTTACCCTGTATGTTACAATAATTTATTAATTATAATAATTAATTTTTACGCATTATTATGGCTTATTGAGTACTTGGTTAATGGTACATTCTAAAACGGATTTAAATATTGTTTAAAAATAAAAATCACACATTACGCGCCGATTTATTTATGCTGGCTTAAAATTAACCCTTTCCACTCGCGAATTGCGATTATTAATATTTATTTTGCTGTCGGAGTAAATATACAAGTATATAATAGTTGTTCTTTAATATTCAGACTTTATGGACCTTGATATTCTATTCTGACAAACTATGGACAGTTCAGATTTGGTAAAACTACTTTAATTTTACTCTGGTAAAATTACTTTATTAACTGCCCGTAGGGTAAGTTATAGTAATCGCAATTAATCGAAAGTGAACATTTTTATGTATTTTTACGTTTCAAAGCCTTCTGAACATTTGAGCATACCTTAGAAAAAATGTAATTATGTGTGTGTGTGTTCGGATACAAATTTTTGTCAAAAATTTCAAATACACGGATCAACCTATTTGAATAATTCAAAACACATCCGATTCCTATTCATGGTGATAAGGTAGTTACAGACTTTTCCAAGATACAGCGCAAGAAGGGCGAAAAATGGTGATTCAACGGAGCGTCCGATTTGAATGATTCAAAAACATTTGATTTTTATTGATAAAATGAAGAAATTATTACATTTTTGAGAAGGAATTTCTAGCAGTTTCGGAGACCCAATTTAATGTTTATTCGTTAGACTGCGACGCGGCGCTTACGCGATTTTATATTTCTAAAGCACCTACGCAGCGCGTTTGAAAATAGTTCAAAATTTTCAAGAAAAATTAAATATAGAAAATAAATTCAATTTTTTCAAAAAGTCTTTTTTCAAAAATTTCAAAATATAATTTTTCAAAGTGTTCAAAAAAATGTTAGAACTTTTTTTAAAAAAATAATTTCAGTACGAAAAGTTCCAGCAATTTGCCATAAGGCACAATGCATCACTTGTTTTAACTAAGTTTGACGATAAATATTTTATGATTTGCATGTAAGCAGTTTTCATTGATTTTGCATATTTTCATCTGACAAAGGATTCGATGAAAAATTAACGGCCTAACATTTTTCACAAATCCGAATCTGTCTGCATGGCAAACAGTGTCTCAAATGCATATCATCGACCGATCACACTTTACTTGGCAAAGTTTCAAAATGCTACATCCATAGTTAATAATAAAATTAATAGTTTTTAATCAATCAGCGTTTTTTATTAGCACATTATTTTTGTCGAATTTTGTATTAGATAATAAGTCGTCATTACGTTTCGTTTTATAAAATCCCGAAAATAATTTTTATATCTATTTTCACTTTCAGACTGACGAGGCTCTACCAGCGGAACAAATTGCCGGTGAGTGAATTGCAATACATCCGACTTATACAAGAACTAATATTTTCTGTTACCTATTTTTATATGCATATATATATATATATATATATATATATATATATATATTTCTAAGAAATGCAATCGTTTCGTTAAAAAAATTTACGCTTTTACACTTATAGTAAATTAATTTACTCTAAATTAGTATGATTTACGTTGATAGTATCGTTTTAAAGAACAAAGTATGCGTTCTATGAGTACATAAATGGTGTATATATCTCAAATGATTAATAAAAATAATAAACTTTTAACTTCCCTTTAAATCCATATTATTTTTTACATTAGTTTACATTTTGTGCTATGTATGTAATGAAATTTGATTAATGCCTTAAGTAATTTTTATCGAAGATTTTCAAACTTGCTTTATATGTTTAATAAAAATTCGTTACTTATAAAAGTTTTTTTTTTAATTTTTAATTTGTCAATTTATTTAAAAAAATGTCTTTGATCAATGTTTTATATCGTGTTAATAAATTGCGTAAATTACGAACGCAGGTAGAGTTTAATTAAAAATCTTGAGCCATTTATCATCTCAAAATAAACTTTAATTTTAGATTCAACGTCGGCTTCGTTTCTCAAATTCGCCAAGTCATAAGACGACATATTTTGTGCTTTTTATAAATATAGTATTATCTGGAAATATGTCTTGGCTTCTGTAGGAATACTTTGCAATAATCTTGTTCTAAAACTTTTAAACTTCTTACTTAAAAACAATGCACGATGTAAATTCGTTTCAATCAAAAAATGTAAAACGATTTCATTATAATAAAATCACTACATTTTCAAATAATTTATAAATGATGTGAATTCATGCCAACTCTTCAAATTACTTTTCAAACGCTTTTCACATCTGTCGTATGCTTATTTGCACTCCGTGTATGAATTTATCACAGTTATATTGATCGGAGTCTATTTCAGATATAATCTGATTTATTTCTAATATCATGTGATATTGGGAAATACTTAAATGCTTCAAGAAGATTATTCGACATTGAATGCTTCAAATAGATTACATCATTATTATTATTAGAAGTAGAAATTAAACTGACCGCATTTGGTCAGTTCAAAATATTTTATCGAATGTCTTGCTTTGCATTTTGATTTAGTTATGAACTGAATCAAAACTTTTACATTTGCTTACATATTTTTACACTGTAATAGTAACAATTTATGTTTATGTAAACGTTCTAGTGCATGTCATAATTCGAACACCAATTATTAACTTGGGCTTGTTGTAACAGTTTAAGATCTGTTAATTGTATTTATACCAAATAAAGATGGATGGCTCTAACTATTCCTCTACCTAATCAAGTCCTCTACCATAACAATTTCTAGAAAAAATGCAATTTTCTAGTGTTTTGGGCTATATTAACATCTATCGGGTAAAGTAGTAACAATGAAAAATGACTATACGATATTGCCTCTGATAATTGATTTTCTAATCTTTTTTAAGAAAATCGATTCGATTTCAAGAAATTCTTTTCATATATCAACGCAAACTATAATCAATACAAAAAAATATATAATGTCTTCTGTAACATAAATTTTAGTCGTAAATCAACGCAAACTACAATTAATATCATAATACAAATAAAAGATGCAGTGTCTCTCGTAATACAATATTCGCCCATATCTTACAAAGTATAAAATCAATCAATCCAATCCATTTCACTTGAATCTGTATATAATTCTTGTAAGTTACTTGTAACTAGCCCCAAGGTTTTGTTTCAACTAACTCTAGGTGTATTTGTTACATTAATCAAGATAACTATTTAAACAATTTAGCAATCGCAAAATTTGTTACACATTATCAAAGATTGATTTTGAAACAATATAAGATATATAAAATTTAAAATTCATCGATGATAATAACGCAAACCGAAATTTTATGATAGATCAATTTTATATTATCTGTTAAAAATGACGGACCTGCACAGTTTTGTTTATTGCGTCAGTCTACAAGACCAGTAGCTATGACAATATTGTGCAGGAGGGTTTACACAGTTTTGTCCAATGGGAACAAAAAATATTTTAATATCGTTTAAGATCCTATTTAAAATAGGATGTTAATTAAAAATAGCCTCTAGCTCCCTTTATATTTCATACATATTTTAACTAAGTTATAGCCATTGGTAAATGATTAAATGTGATTTAAAAAAGCGAATGATCGTGAAAATAATATTAGGAATTCATTCACTTTACGCTTATAGTAATTTATCAATCTTATTTCAACTTCAGTTTCAAATTTTACAAATTTGACTTAGTTCGCTTTTACGCATTTGTGTGGCTTTATTTATTTCTCAAATAAATTTAGTTCTCAATATTATTTAAAATCATTATTAAAATCCAAATTAATCATTGGTAGAGATGTCTATGATATTATTTCGTTGATTGTAATCATTTTTGTTTTTTTTATACTCTATTGATTTAATAAATTTGCCCGCGTGCTTAACACGTTCGCAGACAGTCATTTTATTTTTTAGAACATTATGATATCCGAAAATTGATTAAATGGCGTTTATAAAAGTTCTCAGCCTACCTAAACAATATTAGAAATATATTTATATTTTTTATTATATTTCCATTGCATTGTATCGGCAGTCAGATTATCATATTTTAATAGTTCTCTGATATCCACGTCATTTTGCATCACAAAGAAAATGAATGCTTTAGCATGTGAATTGAAGATGGCCAAACACCAACTATTCAGACATCATCAAAATATTTTTCCAAATTCATCCATATATTCCTTTGCAATATGAACGGATTTATGTTAATGTGAAAATAGCCCTTCGCAAGAATTACTATTTTAAATTAAAAATTAGAATGATTAAACAAATTCTAATAAAGTATATCAAATAGGACAATCGTTCGCCTAAAAAGCTATATATGTATTTAAAAACTATCATCACAACAGCTCATAGGACTCTTTAAGTTCTAATAAAAAAATATTGAAGAATATATTTATATATAAAAACTATTGATAATATTTCTATTATAAATCTCAGTCCTCCGCAAGGCGTTCGATGGCTTCGATAGGGAGCACTCAGGCAGCATATCTACAGAAATGGTTGCCGAAATATTGCGCCTCATGGGTCAGCCCTTCAACAAACGTATTCTCGAAGAACTCATTGAAGAAGTTGATGCCGACAGTAAGTCCTCATTTGTAAAACTAACAGGAATGGTGGATGACATGGTCTTTTAAAGTTGAAACTTCTACAAACTTCTCCTTACAAACAGATATATAGCTTTACAGATATTGAATGAAATTGAGTTAAAATTTGTTTTTTACGAAGCTTTTAATTTTTTGAAAAGTTTAACATTTAAAAAAAAAATCCATTTTTTGAAAATTTGTTTTTTTGTTGCGTAATTTTGAAATTTTTTTTTTTTTTAAGATTACTAAATGGTAATTATTTCACAGAATAATATACGGAAAAGTTATTTAAAAATTTTAAATCCTTAATGCATCAATACTGTAGTGTTTTTTAAACAACTTCAATATTTCACAAAACCCATAAATTTTATTAACAGAAATTGTGTATATTGTTCAAACTTTCATTAAACCCTTCCGGTACGTTTAATTTTGCATGAAATAATCATTCAATTTATTAAAAAAAACTTCTCATTTTAAAATTCTTACATATTCATAATAAATCTTCATTTTTAACTTCCCGTAGGGTAAGTTATAGTAATCGCAAAAAAATCAAAAATGAAAATTTTTATATATCTTTACGTTTCAGAGGTTTCTGAATATTTTGGCATACCTTATAAAAAATGGATGTATGTGTGTGTGTGTGCGGATACAAATTTTCGTCGACGATTTCGGGAACACGGATGAAGTGATTTGAATAATTAAAAAAACATTCGATTCGTATTGATAAGGAGACGTGCTGATTAGTTTTTGGCAAAAGGTCTAGCCGTTCCGAAGATATGGGGCAAAAAGTGCCAAAAACGGTAACTCAGGTTTTAGGAGAACGGAGCGTCCGCTTTGAATAATTCAAAAAAACATTTTACTTGTATTAACAAGATGAAGAACTGATCAAATTTTCATGAAGGCAGGTCTAGCGATTTCGGAGATCTAGTGAAAAAAGTAAAAAAAATGCCATCTGGCGGTCAAAAATGATCATTAAACATATGCACATCAAATTATCAGATATTTTATAGACATTTTAACAATAAGTATAAATTTTGTTTACATTCCTATGGGTTCCGTACCAATGCTTATTCGTTAGACGGCGGCGCGACGCTAACGTGCTTCGATATTTCGTCTCTATGCGGTTAAAGCAGTACGATTGCTTTGAAAAGAAGCTCAGAATTTCCAAAATATTTCAAAATACACTTTTCTCCAAAAAGTCTTTTTTTTTCAAAAAAAAGTAAATTTTGATAAAAAATTTATAGTTTCTCAAAAATCTAATTTTTCAAAATAATTTTTTTTCAAAAATGTTAATCTTTTAAAAAAAATATTGTTTGGTACGTGAAATTCCAGCAATTTGCCTTTAGGCACGATGCCATGCGCCCCACTAGTCACATATTCTTAATCCTATAGACTCGGATATCGGCGGCAAAATTCATATAGATCTCGCAATTTGCGAGTGGAAAAATTCAAAGCAAATCCTTTAAAAGGCAATAGTCTTTCACAAGACTAACAAAAAACTCGCCGGGGTTGTACCCGGAAATTCTAACGTTTTGGCAAATGCAATACACCTTTTAAATTAATTTCCTCGTAATCAGCAGTAACTTTAGTCTCATGACAAATGAAGTTCGTCATTGTGCAGTATGACATGAAAAACTGATGACGAGCAGGACTCGTCACAATGGGTTGAAAATATCATAAATTGAAGTAAATATTTTAAATTATTGATATTGACCACTAAATGGCAATTTTTGACACATCTGCCTCCGTATCTACAAAAAAGCTTCACTAGTCTTTCCAAAAATTATACGGCATCATAACACCGTCACTGCCAATCGAATACTTCTTTAATAATTCAAACCGGTATCATAAAATCTGTATCATAAAAATATGGCAGAAAGAGATATGTCCGAGAACACATACAAATATACATATTTATTAACATTGTACTATTATAGAAGATCATCATTTATAAAAACAACATTCGCACAAAAAGCGAAGCGGAGTTATATCATCAGAAGAATGCTAAAATCAAACCCAGAACGCACATTTATACACATTTGTTTAGAGATGAAATAATGATTCACGTTTTCATGTTTTCGTTCGCAACGAACGCGCACGCTTTTAATGGTTTCAAAATCATCGAAGTAATGGGCAAACCCACAATAGATTCGCGATTTTAAACATGCCGGTTAACACGAAGAACGTTTGTTTAAAATGCAATTACATATTTTTTTATTTTTATTAGTGTTTTTATAGTAATGTTCAATTTTATTGTTTGTTGATCAATTTTGCATAAGATAATTATGTATTTTTTAAATTATTTTAAAATTATTTTCATTTAGTTCTTTTCTCTTAATGATTTTTTATCATTTTTTTTCTTAAAATCGCCAATTCAAGTATATCATATTAAATATTCTATTACTTGAAAATTAATATAAATTTACTTTGTACTGGTTTAATAAAAAAAACTTATTTGTTATTTCAATATTTTTATTACCTAATTCTTGAAAGTCAAAGCAAATAGATACGCAAAGACTCTTTCTAAATCGGTTTAAGAAAAGTGTTCAAAACGCATTCGATAGAATATTTTATTTATATGAATATATATAAATAAGTTATCACATTTTTTGTTCTGAATTCTATTTTTAGGCGTGATGTATCATAAATCAAACTACGCCTAGTAATCTATTATACTTACCGACCTGACGCTAGGCAGAAAATTCTATAAGGCTTCAGTTTCGTTTGTGTTATTTTCATTACTATCAATAAAAATAGCCTACTTTTGATTAGTTTACTATCGTTACTGTTACATAAGGTGATGTTTTCTAATAGTACTTACTACTCCCTCAAATTTTCATTTGAGGTTGTAGATCTCCAATATAATCTCAAGTGAATATAATATTTTGTGGGCACAGTTGCAACATATTTTAACTCTAACTATTAAATCTCTTAACTATTAGATGTACGACTAATATAATCATCAAATACATAGGAGAACGGTTAAGCAATGGGTTGCCTCTCTCGAAATATGGACAAATATATAGAAACAAATTAATTTTTTATTTTAATATTAATTTGTTTAATAGTGGTAATTTATTAATTAATTTAATGAATGTATTAATCTAAAAATTAATTTGTTTCTAGTAGTATTTAATAGCATAGCTATAAACTTAAAATTTAGATTATCAAAGATGTAATAATTGAAACGTTGCTACTCTGTAGTTACTCTAAGTCACTTGTTCATAAATTTGCCCTCTCTCTCAAAATCCTTTCCTTTCCGTATCTTACTTATTCTACAAGTTTGAAAATACATAATATTTACTCATATTCAAATAAATAATAAAACAATTTCTCTCAAGAATCCGGTCGCTTAGAGTTTGACGAATTCGTTACACTTGCTGCAAAATTCATTGTTGAAGAAGATGCAGAAGCAATGCAAAAAGAGTTGCGTGAAGCTTTCAGGCTTTATGACAAAGAAGGTACGTATATATTAGGAAGATTTTTTTATTCGTTCAATCGTCAGCATTATTGCGAATTATTTTAATATTGAATTCATAAATATTACGTTTTTATTCTTTTAATAGGAAATGGCTACATACCAACGTCCTGCTTGCGCGAAATTCTCCGCGAGTTGGACGACCAGCTGACTGAGGCCGAACTCGACATGATGATCGAGGAGATCGATTCCGATGGTTCGGGAACGGTAGACTTTGATGGTAATAAATATATAACAAAGTTATTTGATACATTTTTAATTTTACACTAATTTAATTTTGTTTACATTTAAATCTCTTGAATAGAAATATAAGTGCAATGGCCAGTTATCCTTTCTCGCGCCATTATATATTGATACAAAGTGTTAGCGTAGTACTTTTTATATATATTTGCTATAATAAATAAAAAAAACAATAAAAAAATCTATTAAACATATTGACTAATTTTACAAATTACGTTTTTAGTATAAGTACCTAATTAGTTTAATAAAATACAAAATCTATATTGTTCAATTATTTGTTAATAATAATACTATAATTTTGTATTTCACAGAATTCATGGAGATGATGACTGGAGAGTAATAGAATATAATATAAATTTAGCTTGCTTTTTAACGCCCTTTTTATATATTTATACGTACTAGTTACTAATTACAATTTTGCTTTAGTAATTCTTCTTATATATGTTTTTAGTTTTACAATATTATAATATTTTAAAGTTTGTTAAATAGACTACTTTTAATATATTGCTTGTATATGTACTTTAAAATATGATTAATGTATAATATTAAATAGTGTATTCCTTCCATGCCAAAATTGTACGAGTTTTACACGTGCAAATAAACATATACGTTTATAATTTCATTTTATTTTGTAAATTTTAAGTTATATCAGTGGCGCAACTGAAGGGTGGCAAAATGTGCCCCTTGACTCTGCGGCCCGGACCAAGAATTCGCAATTTTTTTCACATTGTACTAGTATTTTAATTTGCTTAAATGTACATTTTAAATTTTAATTTGTCGTAATTGGTGGTTAGGTTTGGGAAAGATAGTGTAAATATAGATTTTAATGGAAGAAAAAACTCGAGAGAAAGTGGGAGTTTGCAGAAAAATGAAAAAGCTACCGAAAATGAGTCAGTTTTTAAAGAATTTTCACTTTATATATAAAAAATCGAGTAAACAGTACTCCAAGAAGATTTAATGGAAATATACCAGAATTAGCAGGTACACCATTCTACACCATTTACTAGCAGGACCAGAACAACCAAGACAAACTCCTAGCAGAAATAAAAATGATTATATTTTAGAATAAATATTATATGTTCGCCCTATGTTACTGATAAGGTTGAACTTAAAAACTTAACAGATCAAATGCAAAGGTTCGTGATCGACAACGAATATTGTAAAACTAAGAGCCCTTTCTTTAAAGATAGTGACAATAGATCTTTTCAACCAGTTTCCAAGTCTAGTGTAAAACTTACATGGCTAACTTAACCGCGAAAGTTATTCGCAAATCGGGTTCAAATTGAGGGCTATGATGATTGTAAGTATATTGTAGTTACTGCCATATTGAACTATCGATGAAAAGCAACAGTCTATTATCAGATTTTCGTAATTCCGTGGTTTTAATCGGACGTTTTACGTGTAAATTAGTCATTTGTTCTATATCAATCAAAAAATCACTAAACAAATTTAATCTTTATAATTGCTCATCCTTTGTAACATAATAATCGACTAGAGAAACAGTATTAGTATAAACTTTATAAACTTAATTTAGTTCTAAAGTACCTTCGATCTTATAAAGTGACATCGATAAACAACTTAAGAATTTTTGACAAAAAAGTAATCGAGCTATTTCCGTAATCTCTAATAAAATCAATAAGATTACTCTAATAACTATAAATGCTTGTTGTTAGTTGTTGTTGTTAGTACAATACTGGCATACTGGCAACAGATTATAAAATCGCAGTAAGTATTATGGACGTCAGTAGGAACCATGCCAAAAATTTTGATAACCCGTTTCTCGGAAATAATTCTGGAACTAGATGCGAAACCAAATAAGTAACAATTTAACTATGCTAAAATTAATAAATTTAGTAATGGTTTCAGATAAAAATAATTCAACGAGTGAAATATAAATCAAAACGCGCTCATGTTTCATTCGACTTAGTTGCTTCTACACTAAATCATAGTTGTTAAAAGTATATTGATATATTTACCTGCTTTTTATATGAAGCAAAGAGGCAAAATTTTAGTATTATTTTGTAATTTTTTATTTAGATAAGAATTATTTCAATTACCTAATTGCAATATAATAATGTTCTATACTAGTTAATTTTCCATAAAAGATGTTATAGAAATAAGAAAAAAAACGATTATCAAAAATGAATTATTTTATATCATACCTTAGAAAAGTCTGTAGTATGTATATTTGTGCATACATAAGTTAAAATAAGTTTTTTTGTCATTTTAGAAGTTAACGGATCAGTCGAATTGAATGATTTAAAAACACTCATATTGACATATATAAAGTGATTTAGTTTTTCGTAAATGTATAGTACCAGTTATCCTCTGCTTTATTACAACGACCAATATTATTATTTTTTTTTATCAATCAAAACGCTATTAAAGTTTTATAATACAAAATTGTTGAGGTTTATAAAAAAACAAAAAATTAAACCTAAATACAAAAATATAAATGTAAATAATAAACAGAATATTAACAAAATAAAATTACAAAATATTGAAATAATAATCTTATAATGTCAACTATGGCTGGAACTGAGCATTAGCTACTCTGCCGAGTGGTGAATGCTTCTATGATGGTAGATGAGGAAGGTCTTCGGGCCATTTCTTCTTCAGTCTTCTTGTTGGGTTGGGCAGAGATTTGATGATGGGCTTTGTGTGGAATTCTAATTTCTTGATGTGGGATATGCTTCTTGATTTTATGTATTATGCAACGGTTGGAATATACAGGTCTTTGTGGAAGCAGTAGTTGGATATATACCACGGTACATCAGTGAGGAGTTGTTTCAATATGCAACGCAGGAGTAAGGCCTGCGGCTTAATTTGATTCAACACGCAAAACACTAAACTCCGATACCGAAAAAATGACAGATTGAGAGTATCGTCGTTCTTGTTGGTGGAAAGATTTGTCTAATTAATTCTAATAACAAAAGAGACTAGCCTGCTAAATAAAGGCATAGTTTCAGAAATTGCAAAGACCCTTCGTTTTGGATACGCTTGTTGTTAATTGTGATTTCTTACTACTGGCGTACAAATCGATTTTCTTAGAGGAACAAGTGGAATTTATGCGCACGAAATTGAGCAATAACATATCTGTGTAGTCACTGTTACCGAAGAAACCAGCAGGTTTTCTTGGCCGACAGGCCCAGAGTTATTAAGACTTGCAATTTTCTCGTGAACGAGAAATTATCGATAAGCGCGTGCCATAAGTTCGCTTTGATCACGTCCTTACTATTCGTACGCACTGCCCGTCTTCAGACAAATGTGCTGTTGCGAGTCGATGTTGTTTTGAAAATAACCAAACTTAATTATTTAAAGGAAGTGCTAGTGGTGACAAAGTTTTCGTAGGTGAACTTGTAGAAGCATCATTAACGTACATTTACTAATAAGCGAATGACACGTATAAGCGACTCACATGGATGGACCATTCGTTTCATTGACGATAGACAGAAGTGAGTCGCAAAAAAACAGTTCCTCGATGAGCACTCGAGCTAATCGTGTACGCTTCCCGAGACGTGCATGATACAAAGGGCAAAAATTTCGCGCCGTGTCCAAAACCAACCTGACATGGTTTGCCGCTTAGCGCGCTATTGCATTATGTGAGAGCACTGTCATATTTATCTGCTCGGTATCGCCAGATGCCTGAGCGAATAACGGAGTTCGTTATGAAATATTGCGTTCTCTTTGATAATAGAACAAACGCAAAGCTCAATCAAGACTTTGGGTCCTAGACGAATATCTAGTTTCTAGAGTCCGACTATAGTAATCGCTTTTGCTAACGTAGACTGCGCACTTTTTGTTGAAAGCAAGCGTTGTTTTCAAATGAACGATCCGCTTTTGAAGCTGATTCTAAGACTCGCTATAATAGCGAATGTTTTTGAGCTAAATATAATGTGCATCGCATGGAGACCTTTTATTATCTTATCTGTCCTATCTCAAACCATATAGTCAAATCTTACGGTGTTCTAATCGTAACAATACTGAACATTGATGGTTTCCTTAACCGACGTCGCAGTTACAATAGAAACATGTATAAATCATGTATAAGCACCCTAAGTGATGGATTATTCAAATGCGGATGTAGAAGGCTGCTAATTACGAACGTTCATATTATGAGCGTATATTGCGATCCTCATATTATGTTCATCAGATCCGCAATGTCTATGGATGTCAGTCATATAACATTAGTAGACTGTCGCGTCTACATAAACTGCCGGCATTCTAAACTTTAATGAACTTTTATAATTCAATCACATTTCGCAGTTGGATTATAATATTTCAAGATGTTAGTTTAGAGGCCAAGAACTCGATCGTCATGTTAAAATTCATTCTTTATTTTTATTTAATTACGAAAGAACAGCTCGGTTGATCTTTGCTAAAAACTAATCAGCGCGTTTTCCAAATGATATATTTCGAGAGCTGTTTCTTTGTAATTATATATTTAAAAAACTGCCCATTCTAAACTTGAATGAACTTTTATAATTCAATCACATTTCCTAGTTGGATTATTATATTTCAGGATGTTAGTTTAGAGACTACGAACTCTATCGTCATGTTAAAATTCATTCTTTATTTTTATTTAATTACGAAAGAACAGCTCGGTTGATCTTTGCTAAAAACTAATCAGCGCGTTTTCCAAATGATATATTTCGAGAGCTGTTTCTTTGTAATTATATATTTAAAAAAAATCGTTTTGAATGAAACTTAACACGGCGATAGAGTGCATGGTCTAAGCAAACATTCTGAAATATTAATAATATTATAGTCCTACAAAAAGTGGTTGAATCATATAAATATATTTTTTAATTTATTAATTTCATTTATTTTTATCCTTTTCAAAATTTCCTAAATAAGTTTATAATTATATTCAAAATTTGGAATATTATTTTATATATAATTAAATTTATTTAAATTTATATTAAATTTGCCTATATATTTTCGATAGTTTACCTACTGCAATGTATGTTAATTAAATTTATAATAAAGATTTTTATTGATCTTTAGAATACTAATAAAGTTAGTGTATTCGTTGGGGCAGAACTGTATGGTCCAATTACTTTTACGGGAACGAAATCAGAGGTGGGATTGATTTACGCATATAAAATGCATGCTTCGCTAAGGGATAGGTATCAGTTCAAAACATACAACTGTGGAATAAGGCTTACAAAGAAACGTAAATTTAATATAATCAAAATGAAATTTTTACTCTCTTCGGTAGTGTTGATTGCAGTGTATTGCGTTGTGTGTGAAGCTGACGTTTCATTATTGACTCAGCAAGGATTTAATGGACAAAATTTGCATCAGAAACAAAATCATCAACAAAATCAAGTAAATCAACTTCAGCGACAACATCAACATCAAAACCAAAATCAAAATCAGCAGCAACAATATCAGAATTCGTACCATGGCTATCCTGAGCATCAAGAACAACCAGATTTTAACGACTTTCATTATTCGACAACTTCCCGGTCTGCTCCAACTAAAGGTTCTGGATACAAATACGAAAAACCTAGCCAACCAATTGTTTATCCAAGTGAACCAAGTGAAGAATATTTGCCAGCATCTAGAGAACCAATGAGACCTACAACTGGTTACTTACCACCAAATAACCAGCAACAAGAATATGATGATCAGCCACAATCTTTAGAATATTTGCCTCCAAACGGCCAAGAACAAGATTATCAACAAAATGATATATATCAAGGTCCAGGAGAAACTCGAAGAACAAATAAGCATGTTCAATAATATATTAATCAGAATATTAAATGTTGTAGCACTTTGTTTTATCAGATAGTTATATAAAAATAATGTGCGATTTTTTTTTTAATAAAATGTTTCTAAATACTATATATTTTCAATTATACCTCACCATATACGTTTGTATTTTCCAACCTGTAGAAAAATAGTTACGTGTGTGATTTGGTTATGTGTTTAAACAGTAATGACTAAAAGAAAATGGAAGTAAATAGTGGTGTAATGCTATATTGACATAAGAATAAGACACAACAATTTTCTCAAGTACAAATTAATCCAATAAATTATGTCATTCACGTCGCAATTTAAATGTTATTCAACAACTGTGTTACACATTCAACAAAACTGTTTGAAATAGTAAATATAGTGTAACCAACTTCTGATCTTATTAAATCTGTTTTAATTATAATTTGGTTTAAAAAAATATGGTCCGATATAATCATTCGACTTATGCATCAGATAAGAATAACAATTTTTTTAAGTAAACTATTCTATATTAAGAAATTAAAAATATTTGATCCTTTACCTAATTGTTTGTACACTAATTGAACTATATTTTATTTATAAACCAAAGATTGATTTTTATCTTTACATTAACAACAAATAAGATATAAACCAATTAATGTGTTTACTATATTTTTTATAGAATTTTTTTATAGAATTTTATAATCGTTATTGGACGTACAACGATACAAGCAGAGGCGTAGACTTGGCGAAGCTCCGTATAAAAAATTGATCATAAAAAAAAATAAATGCATTCATCATAACTATCTGTCAATTTCTTCAAAAAAAAATTACAAACAATTCAAATTAAATATACACCCTTTTTGCCTGTTTTTTTTTGGGCAAACTGTTTTATATTATTTATAAGAGATTATCACTACAGATTTTCTAAAGGTTCTACTTTTGTTCAAAGTTACAGTATCGCAAAAAAAATCGAAAATATTTTTTTTATATCTTTACGATTCAGAGGTTTCTAAACATTTTGGCATACCTTAGAAAAATGAATGCATGTGTGTGTGTGTGTTCAGAGACAAACTTTGGTCGACGATTTCGGGAATACGGAGTAAACGATTTGAATCATTTAATTTTTTTTTTAAATCTATATTTTCAAAAAATCTATTTTTTTTTCAAATAAAAATTAAAAATGCTTTTTTAAAAGTTTTGATTTTCGGTACTTTGCCAAGGCACTAATTTTTGCTTACGCACCATATAATTTATGCGGATGATCTGAGCGATACAATTGATGCGGCTGTACACCCCTGACTACAAGTCAATAAATTGACAAAACAAAACTAAAGCTTTAAAACCAGAATATATTAATTATTCTATGTGATTGCACTGTAACGCCTATAAGCATTGCTGGATTTACAGTAGGGGCAATCGGGGCTACTGCCCAGGGCGGCAAATTTTGGGGGGCGGCAAAATTTGGATAGTTAGAAAAAAATTCTATACAATATAATCAACTTTTAACAACATTTTTTATTTCAAGAAATATAATTAACAAAACATAATACGATTGCAATGCAAAATTTGTATTGAAAAAACCGATAACTAAAATTTATTATTTTGCATTGCCTCCCTCTCCGAACCTAAACTTTAAAATTGGTTAATAAGTTATCAAATTTGGCAATTTGGCTAATATAAAGATCCGTAAACAAGCTGAAAGTTCAAGAAAAATATGTTTTTCAGTTCTCGAGCCCTCTTAAAATAACGAATTTGTGCACTTCCAAGCTTATAGCTTCGAAAAAAAATTTAAATTAGTCATTCATGCCATTGTGCCTCAAGACAAATTACTGAAACATCCCGTACTGAAAATTACATTTTATAAAGAGCTTTAAAATTCTTTGAAAAATAGAAAAAAAAGACTTTTAAAACACATTTTTTGTATTTTGAAATTTTTCGAAAATTATGAACTTTTTGCAAAGCAATCGCTGCGTAGCTGTGTCAGAGAAAAAATATCAATAATTGCGAAAATTACCATTTTTCGTAATTGCATGTACCAAAAGCTAATCAGCATGTCCGCTTCAATACAAATCTAATATTTTTTAATAATTCAAGTCGATTTCAAGAACACGGATAAACCGATTTAAATGATTCAATTCCTATTGATAAAGAGACGTGCTGCAGCACGTAACTAATCATGATTAGTTATTGGCCAAGGCAGGTCCAACTGTTTTGAAGATACGGGCCAAAATGCCAAAAATGATAGTTCGGTATTTGAGAAAAAAAGCGTCCAATATCATTCAAAAAAAATTACAGAATAAATATCTGCTTAAAATTGTGGGGGGCAGGTTTAGCGGTTTCGATGATCCAATAAAAAAAATTGAAAAAGAAACATTTGGCGTACAAAACAGATCATAAGAAATATGCACTTCAAATTATCAGATATTTTGAAGGTATTATAATAATAAGTATAAATTTTGTTTACATTTATATGCGTTCTGCAACATTGTTTATCCGTTAGACTGCAACGCGGCTCTTACGCGCTTCTATATTCTGTCCATACGCAGCTGAAGCAGCGCGATTGCTATTAAAAAAAGTTCGAGAGTTCGAAAATTTCAGGGATGGGGCGGCATTTTTGTCAGTGCCCCGGGGCGCCAAATTTCTAAATGCGGCCCTGCCTATAAGAAATGCGAACAAAAAATCGATGACACGAAACGATACGATTCATTCGCGAATTTTCACGTTACGAATATTTTGCTCCGCTATTTATCTCCAAATCTTGGGCTTGAAATAAAGCATGTTCAGTGCTTTCCTCTTGCTTTGCTCGAGCTTCAGCACAATGATAGAGATATTATTTGGAATTTGATTTTTTTTTAATTCGGTTTGAGACCAATTCCTTTATTTGTTATCACGGAGTTTCGTTCGTTTGGTTGTGATTGTAAACTTTTTAGTTGTAAGATACATATTGTAAAAGCAAATGGTTTCAAACAAGTTTGATATGACATAATCTCACAAGATATATGAAATTAGGCAACTCATAAAATTTTCGCGATGGAATTTTTAAATTTGGACATGGACCAAACTGAATAGTTATCACCATAAATTACTTTCGGAAGGTCTATAATATTTTAAAATGTTTAATAAGACTATGAATTGTACCCTCATAAAAGGTTTCATCAAATTTGTTAAAAAAAAATTTACAACTTTAATTATGAAGAAGCTTCTCATAATCTGTACCAAAGACTAATAAGCACGATTTCCAACTGATGTCATTCGAACGGTTTTCAAATTTCAAAATAAAAAGAGATGTAAAACGCAAATGCTAATCGAGTTTTATCAAATGAAAAATTCTAGATGCACCCGTTTTCGAAAAGCGTCGACAAATGGTCAAATTTTTGTTCACAAGCATAAATAATCATAACAAATAAACGGATTTTTTAGCGAAAACATAAACTTCTTAGGAAGTTAAAAATTGCTTATTTTAGAGTTTATACATTTACATAAAACCTTCAAAAATATTCAGTCATCAATTTGCAGTCGAAAAATATGTTTATATCATTTATTATCAAATTTTAATCAAATAAATAATAAAAATTATTATTTTAAAATATAATTTTATTATATATCATTTTCTAGTATTTTGTTGGATTATAAGTTTATTTTTCTGTCTGGTGACTTTTGTTGTAGGGCCAGGTGATGTCTGAAGCTGTTTCAAATTTTGTGTTGGTATTATCTGATTTTCTCTAGAACTCTTCCTATCACTATAATTTACTAGTTTTGCCAATAATTTATTTTTGGGTTCTTTAACTTTCTTTTCATGATGCTTATATTGTCTTTCTTCCGCATATATATCTAGGTCATTATAATAAGGTTTAATTTTATTTCTACTAGATCCCGCAGCATAACTCTCTAAATCTAGTGGTAGGTGGTCTCTTGCAAAAAATCTGAAATCAAATAATTATGTAACAAAATTGTAAGTGTTTTATTATTATTATTATATTATTGTTTTTCAATGAAATTTCTTACATATTATTTATTTAGTTTTAATTTTTATAGTTAAATTGATTACCACTGAACAAAGGCTAAGATGCTAGCCAAAAAGTATTTTAAATAAATAAATTTTTAAAAAACTCTCATACTATTTTTATTGATGTAACGCCCGACTTTTTAACTCAAATTAAACATATATATCAACATCAAATTCAAGATTATTCAATATATATATATATATATATATATATATATATATATATAATTAGTAATTTTTTTCTATACCTATCTCTTTCTGTATTAGAACTAGTATTAGTTTCATCTGCCAAATGTCGGAAAATCAAATTCAATTTCTGCTGATGTTGATGCTGTAAGTAAACAGCATTCCTTTCTCCTTTCAAACTGAAAAAGTAGAAAATACTCAAGTTACATGTTTCATTTTCTCTGCAATTAATAATTAATGAAAAGTAAATACATTGCTTCTCGAACTGCATCATTTAAAGTGTGTTCCCATGCCTCTTGTTGTGCTTCTAACTTTAATACTTGTTTTTCAAGTCTATGACCACTATCTTTTAAATCTATTACCTAAAACGTAAAAAAGTAAATAATATTGTAACACAATTTCTTACAATTATTATATGAATTAGTTATAACTGCAATCAATTAAACATTTCATAAGTATCAAGTAAGACATATTTTGTAATCTGACAAGCAATGGGTTTGTCTCCTACCATGAAATAACTTAAATCTACTTAATGATTAAAGTGACTAAAATTTGAATTGTATAAAAAAAGACATTTTTGACCATCATGACTTTACCACTAACAAAAGTTTTGTCTATTTAGAGTAATAATACATTGAAAACAGAACATTATAACGCATATTTTTAAATTTTAATTTAAATTCATTTATATATGCATATAATATTTTGATATGTAAATAACTATTTATCATTAAATTAACAACTAAGTAATAGAATTTCAAGAAAATTCAGTTCAATATTAAAAATACAAAGCATCAAAGTGAATTTTTAAAAATACCTTTTGAAAATATTTATACAACAATGTCCTAGTTTCAGTTAAAGTTAATTTATTGAGTCTAGCCATAAGCATTCGCTCTCCTTCATCTCTCCTCTTAGAACTAATATCGAGAATACTGGCTTTGCCACATATCCTCTCATTTTTAACTTCAATAGCCGTATCAATAGCTTCAATGGCTTCATCACATTCTAACAAACGTCTTTGCTGAGACAAGTCTAGACTTCTTAAATTCTTCAACTTTGTACGCTGCTCTTGCAAATGATCCCTGGTTTTACGTAAATTTCTTATTTCAGTCCGAACAGACTGTTGCTCTGCAGTATCAGCTGCATGTAGTAAATGCTGTGATTTTTGCTTTAATACCTGAAACACAGAAATTATATTTAGATTTAACTAGATAATATAAAATTGCCAAATAGTAGATGACTGTAAAGGAGAAATCCATATAAAAACCCTGAATCTACTAATAAATTAATTTTACATCGCAATTTGTTCAAAAATACCTGATCAAGATGTGATATTCTACTGGTAACATCCTTCAAACTCCGTTTCTCCGGTTTCTTCACTTGTAAATTTTTCTTCTTCATTTTAAGTTCCTTCTCAAAACTAATTTTTGCTTTTTGCACTTTTTTACTTTGATCATTTAAAGATACTAATTGCTTATTTAATTTATAAAGACTATTTTCAAGTTTATTTGATTCTGCTTCACTATTCTTAGTAAAACCTAAAATAAGTGTTTCATGAGCAGTGAAATAATAGTGAATATTATTACGAGTTACCTGAAATCTGAAATATGTCCTTGAGCCTTTGTTCGTAATGCTCTGTTACTATTTTCCACTTTTCAACTTCTGCATTTGCTTCTGCACTATTACAATTCATTGCAATGTTAGAGGCTTGCACTAAATGTTTTTTAGCATTAATTAGTTCATGTTCTAATTTTGATTTCTTTTTGGTGAATTTTTGTTTAGCTTGTAGTCTTGCCTCATTATTTTGGGCAAGTTCTTTTAATAGTTGAGCTTTTAAACAAATTGTCTCTTTTACTGAATCAATTTGCTTATGAATTGACTCTAATTCTAGTTCTGCATTGTTATACTTAATTTTTAAAACGTCAATATCATTTCTAGAAAGTTCTTTTAAATCCTTCTCATTAGTAGGGGGCAAAGCAGCTGCAATAAATTCATATAAATTATTGAAACTTGTTTATAATTTAATAAAAAGAAAATAAAATTGAATTTTAAAAAATATTATTTTAATTGATTTAAATATAATCCCTTCACAGGGACTCCTAACAATAAAACGAAAAAGTATAACTTCAAACTAATACAGTTAAACATTTATTACCCAAATTTTTTTTGAATCCAGATAAGCCTTATGATGCACATGTACATTTTAATACATTTTGAATGTATAGTACATAATTATATTTTTATTTTCAAGCAGAAAAATAACAAGCAAAACCAAATTAAAACAATACCTGATCCACTGCTTGCAGCTCTTTGTAGTAATTGAAGTTCAACACTATTTAAGAGCTGTCCTGGATGAACACTTTTTCGTCTTGCTTTCATATAAACCGGTTCTGAATTAACAGAAGCTTTTGTAAAGCTTTTGCCCATATCTTTTAATAATGTGGAGAAAAATGATGATTTGGAAGAGGTGTCGTGTGATGGCTTATTCATGGTATCAAAAATTTCAACATCATTTGTACTATTTATTGTACTTTTTGGCAGTGATAAGATAAAGTTTTCAAATTTATCTTTCGTTAAATGTACAGTCATCTCTCTGAATTTGAATAAAAAATTATCATTATTACTATGCTGATGCCATGGACTGTATTAGCAAATAAATCTATTAGTATTCAGTACTTCTATTGCATCAAATAAAGTTGTCTATGAATTAATGGTATTTTATAAGACCATAATTTACTTTCAATCCAGCGGGAATATTTATGGTGGTTGAAAAGTATAATTTAATTGATATAGAAAATAATATTGATAGTCATATAATGAGGCGCAAGAGAAATCACATGCGTGTATAGTTTAACTTCTCTAGAAAAATAATGATGCTCATATATAAACAAAGTAGTAAGCAAAATATAGAAAACACTAAACCCATTAAGTAAACTTTATAATGATTTGTGTTACTTTTTTTACAAAACGATTTAATAATGTATGAAAATATTAACATTACCTGAATAGTTTCATAATATTTTCTATGTCAGTGAATACTTCCAATGCCTTATGTGAATCAGAATCACTATGATCTATGCCTTCAGTATCTGTCATATTTTGCAAAACTTCAACTTCATCTTCAGTGGGGTATACATGAGATTCATTACCATTAAATTCTTTACTATTTTCAGGAGCCTCTGCACAATCACTAACAGAATCTGAGTAATCTTGAGGAGTCTCTTCTTGTATAGATCCCAATTGTTTTGTTATATTTTCTCCACTGCTTAGACAATCATCGCATTCTTGTTTAAGAAATAACCACTCTTCAATCTACACAAATAAAATTTCAGAAATTGATAATCATAAAAACAACATTCAACATTATGCAACTTCAAAATCAAAATGAAAATATAATATTAATTTTTATTAATGCTTAAGTTATCAATTTTAAATCCAACTTAGGTAATTCTACATATGATTTGTAAACACTACATTAAAAGATCAAGCTAATTACCTGTTCTGCATCCCGTTCAGATAGCATTTTATTTGATATTAATCGGTTGAAGAGTCCTTCAGCATTTGAAACTAACTTCAACCACTGACTCGATGCAAATTGTAAACCAAACATATCCACTGTATTTTTTGTTTCCCTTACCTTCAGACATTATTTATTTAGCTATTTAGATATTATTTAATTGAAGAATATTTGGTTAACTTCATATATGTTATTTAAACTTACTTGATTTCCTGCTTGAGTGTTGTTATCTGAGAACGTATTCATGATAACTTGATTTTTAATATTACGAGCACTAGATACCAGTCTTAAATTTTCTATAGTTTCTAGTAAATCGCTTGGCAAGGGAGATACACAACAAATCAAAACAGTTTTAGCGCGGCCACCCAAACTATCCATTAATAATGTTGTCAGGATTGACTGACTATAAGGGACAATGTTATGATAGTTTGGGTATTTATAAATGTTAGGATTCGATAAAATTTTTATGATGTTTTCAAAATTTTGCAAATCATTGTCTAATGGAATATAAAATTGCTCTCCAATTTCATTAGTTGTAAGAGATCTTTGTGTACCCGCTAAATCACAAAAACTCATAGTTGACAGCCGATGCTGAATTAAACCTAAAAATTAGCAATAACAATAAGTTTATCAGTAAAGTATGACTATACATGTTATAAGTAAATACCTTCAGTGTTAATCCATTGCTGTTCTAAGCATATTGTAAACAGTGAATGACATTTCACATTATTTATACATAAATTTGTAAGGCCTTGTTGTAACCAATAAAAGGCTTCGGATACTGTATTAATTTGAACGTTACAAGAAATATCATTAAAAAGATCTTTGATTTCATTGTTAAATATTTGAAACCAACTTATGTGCATTACATAACTTCTTTCTGGCATATTACCCAACCTTGAGAATATGTCTCGTAAAGTCCTGTAAATAAAAAATATGTTATTGAACTTTTTTTTCCATTAAAATAATATTTAATCAAATTATAATTATACAATAAGATATAAAACTGATGATATTTAAAAAGGAAACCCATTTATGATGTGCTAAATCAAAATTTTATTAATAAATTATGATCCAATTTTAAATAACTAAAATACATTCTTTGTGATTACCTGGGAATTATCCCATGTTCTGTTTCACTGAAAGCGCAATGTATACCAGGACCAAAAATAGTATAAGTCTTTCCAGTTCCAGTCTATTAAAAGAAAAAAATCTGTTTTATAATGTCATGTTTTTTTTTTATTTCATTTCATAGATGCCTTTCTGTAATTTTGCAGAATGCTCTATAATTTTAAACATGTATACAACTAAAAAATAAATATGAGAATTTAATTATATATAAAACTAAATTTCAGCTTTTAATTATATATGAAACTAAAATTACACTTATATAAATATGTATTCATATCTCTTGTGGTTTGATCATCCTTATTTAGATCAAAGTTCTGTATATACTTTTACGAACATTTCCAATTGATAGTCTTTTACTAATATAAAGTAAAAATAAATGTTGAAGTTTCTAAATAAATTATTAAATCAAAATTATAGATAAAGTATTGGTTTGATAATATGATAGATTTTGTTGTGTATAAGAATCACAATTTGGCGTTTGAATAAATTACAATCTGGCAGCTGCATTGTTATTATATGCAAACTGGATTGAGCTCGAGCTGCATTATGATAGGTATCATCAAAACAAAAACATCATTGTTTAAAATACCTGTCCATAAGTTATGACAGATGCATCATATCCTTCAAGTACCACTGATATATTTGGTTGTATAATACTAGTATACAAATGTGATTGAGATATGTCATGAGGGCACGATAAAGAAACTGGAAAAATTTCTGCACCAGCTTGGATATATTGACCACCAGCATCATTCACTATAGGATTCACAGGTATCGAATCCAAATTTTCTGTTTTCTGAGACGAATTAATTCGAACAGCAACTTGGATAGGGGTATACATTTTTCATATATTTCGCATTTTACTTATACGTTATATAGCATGGGCTTAATTTTAAGTAATATTAATATAATTATCCTATATACCAAAACATAAAAAATTTGATTGTCAATTCGCTCTACCTAGATGTAAATATAAATAATGCAACTGGAATGAACATCGTGCTTTTTGACAGTTCGTTTCATACTCAACTTTCATCTATGGTTCGTTTCATAGATAAAAAAGTATAATGGTTCGTAAACGGTAATCAATCGGTAAACGGTATTTAATCGAAATTTTCATTTAAAAATTAACTATATATGTGGCTAAGGTTACTTAATGACCGTTTATATACATCCTGCATCCAATCACAACGATTGGATATATTCTTGCTATTTGCGAATTTAAGTGAATATTATGCTCGGATTGAAGTTTCTACTAGATTCAACCTTTTATACTCTTGGTTTTAACTGCTTTCGTTTATGTTTTGAGAAGCCGCGTTAAACGCAGTGTGGTTAATACAATTTAATCATAGCTAAATAGGTAAGTAATACATAGATAAATAAGATAATTGAATATATTCACCTTACATACCGTGTACTTAGATATACAATATAATGCCGCGTCTCCACTGTTACGAATCCGTGCGGCGAATGGTGCGTCACGAACAAATTTGCGCAGCGGAGTGATACTGTGCGAACGCACGAATTCCCTTTAAATTTGTCCACTGCGCATGTCCATAGCGCACTTTTTTCTTCTTTTTTTGTTTGAAAATGGGAGGGGGGGTTATTTTTAGAATTACGTACCCTGCCGAACATGGTCGAAGCGACACGAAAATTTCAATAGCTTGCGTTCGCGGCGCTCGCTCCCGCCGCGAGCAACCCGACGCATCGGGCTGCCGAGAATACCCGAACCGACACTAATGGATTAGCGTCAAAGCGCGGATCAAAAATGTAAATAAGTAAGCAGTCATTAAAATTGATGTACTAATTATAATTTTATCTAACTATTAGTATAGGAAATACATCGGTAATTAAGTTATAGATATGTTGAAATATATGTATATCCAACTAAAATATATTTTGGTAGACTTTATTTATCATATTTCAGAGTTAATTTTATATCATCATGATATTATCATGTATATATATATATATATATATATATATATATATATATATATACTCTTACTACTTATATGACGTATCATATATTTATTATTCAAAATAAATTAAATGTTTCAAAAAAAAATGGTAATATTGTATTATTTGCAATTACGCTAAATATCATTTAAAATCTTATTAATATGCAGACTGAATTTTTGCTCAAAGTCTTTTCTGACAAGTATTTATATTTAGAACAGAAGTAATAATTTTTATTCAAAACTGATAATTGTTGGTCAGCCTGCCTCTGTATTCGTATACGTTATTTCTTTGAACTTGTACGTAAACGTTGATCTGTGCTACGGTATAAGTTCAATTGTACAGTGAAGGCATTAAGATATTTCATCGAATCCTCAATTTTGAAAATGAATATGCGTAGAGAAGATGTTATACTTCTTTACACTTCTTATAATTGAACTGTATCAAGAAAAAAAATATTATGGAATCCTAAAAATTTCAAATGTATCAAATTGCTCGCAGTGTGCGTCGCGCACAAGAGCCAACGCATGCGTGCGTCGCGAACAGGATTCGCCGCACGGATTCGTGCAGTGGGGACGCAGCATAATAAAATGTCCCGTGATATTTAAAGGCGATAAGGTAAAAAGTTCGATATTGGTTTATCAGATATTTTAAAATCAGATGAAAATTAAAGATAAATCGTTTAAATACTAGGGCAGGACCAAATGCAAATGAAAATTATCATATACCTTCTACAACATATGATATATTTAAAGAAACCCCTTTAAAGTATCTTTTATCCATCTTTTATCCGTATTTAACAACTTTTGTTGCAAACCTGCATTTTAGCGAGCTATCAACTGTCATGCAGTTTGTTGACGTTTGGTTATGACATGTCGTTTGTTTGAACATGTTTATTTCAACAAAACACTATCTACACTTCTAATCGCAAATGTTTATCACTACTTATCGCTAGATAAAATATAATACTTCTAGATATTATTTTTATATCAGTTTTATTTCAGCACGTGATTAATCAATCAATAACGTGAGCTTACAAGTACCTAAAATCGCTTGAAATTGTATGTGATATTATAAGTCGTCGCAGTTACTAAGTTCTTATTCGAATAATCCAAAATGTGTTCTAAAGACCCGAGCTCATTCTGTAGAATTGGTATGAATAATTACACAAAAGAGTAAAATACTAAAAGTTTCATGTCTAATTATTTTATACTAAATTTTAGATCAAGAAAAAACTGAACATATACATTTTAATTGGCGTGTGGACTTCTGCCAAAAAGTGATAGATGGTTGGGCCTCATATAAGTTTTCAATAACTTCGAAAAATGATGGCAAAATAGTAAAGACTGTTTTAAAAATTCCAAATATAATGGAATGTCACTTAGACCTAGTTTTAATATGTTTTAGGTGTTAGATGTAAGCAAGTTGAATATTGCATCTGTCACCTGTGATATTCAATCAGAGTCAAAAGAATTAGATTTTACTGAGACTGATTTGAGAGAGGGCATTGGTTCAAAGCTAACAATTACGTTGCCACCTGAAGCAAAATCAGAAGAAACGTTAGTATTGGTCTTATGTGCAAAAATAAACACAAATAACCCTTGCATGTAAAGTTTAAATGCACATAATGGCTTTCACATTTTCAGAATAGCGATCAAAATTTGCTATTCAACATCACCTGATGCTAGCGGTTTACAATGGTTGCAACCACAACAAACATCTGGAAAAGTTCACCCGTATATGTTTAGCCAGTTTCAGGTAATAAAAACTGTTTAATCATGTCTAATATTTCTGGTTCAAAAAAAACTTTTTTCTGAACTATATAGAACTATGAATATTGCACTAAAATCTAGGAAATTATATTTTTATTATCCTTTGAATACTTTTGTAGCTTCTAATTATGTAAATATGTCATTTTTGAATCAGCAATAAAAGATATCTCATTCAGAATATCATAAACTTGGAAACTGAAGAAACTTATTCAGCTATTTTATGTTTATATTCTCAATCATTATTTACCTTGAATGTTTCCTAAGCAAGAGTGAAAATAATAATTAAAATTATTATCCTATTAATATATATTGAAATTTTATATAAATTGTAATATTTTAACAGGCTATTCATGCGAGATCTGTGTTTCCGTGCCAAGATTCACCTTCTATAAAGTGTACATATTCAGCTAAGGTAATGTGTCCTAATGAGCTAAAAGTGCTGATGAGCGCGATTTGCGTAGATTGTGAGAGTAAGGAAGGAATGTTTACTTTTAATCAAAAAATTCCTGTGCCGTCATATTTAATTTGCATAGCAGTTGGCGCTGTTGTGTCCAAGGATTTAGCACCAAAGTTTGTACTTTATAATATTATGTGATGATTTATAACTAAATTGATAGTCTGAAACACATTTCATATAAGGGGCGGCGTTCATTAATCACATGAGATTTTTAGGGGGATGGAGAGGGTTGATAAAAAATTGCGAAATATTACGTGGCGGAGGGAGGGGTATGGTAAGATATTACATGTATTTATTTTTTTTTCTGTATTTGAAAAAAATCCAAACATTTTCCATAAAAATCAAAAATTTTACAATTTTTTCTTGTAACTAAAAATACATGTGATGTTTGGAGAGGAAGGGGGGGGGGGGTAATTTTAAATTTAAACTAAAATATTCGAGTTTTTCATTTAATTATAGATTGAGAGTGTGGAGTGAAAAAGAACAAATAGAGGCATGTGCTTACGAATTTGCGGAAACACCTCAGATTTTAGCGGCAGCGGAAGAAATTTGTGGACCTTATGTCTGGGGCCGTTATGATTTACTTGTTTTACCTCCTTCATTCCCTTATGGTGGAATGGAAAATCCATGCTTGACATTTGTAACACCTACTCTATTGGTAAGATTTTATCATTTGAAAAATCCTTTACAACAACAAATTTAACATTTTATTATTTTGAATAAATTGAAGCAAATTCTACTCCAATCAAAATTTGCTATAATTTATCATAAATGATAATCGTTTTATAAAAATTATATTGATTATTTTTTCACTTTTGTTATTTATTATTTTGTTATTCACTTTTGTTATTATCTATCATATTTTAGGCTGGCGACAGATCGCTAGTGAGTGTTGTTGCTCATGAAATAGCACATAGCTGGACTGGAAATTTAGTCACAAATTGCAGTTTTGAACATTTCTGGCTAAATGAAGGTTTCACTGTATTTGTAGAATACAAAATTCAGGGAAAATTGCATGGTGAAGATGTTAGAGACTTTCATTCGCTTTGCGGACTCACAACATTGAAAGAAGAGGTGATTTTATTTAATAACCTACTATTTTGTGATTAGATTAAAATTAAATCATATATAAGTAAATAAATATCAAATATTTCATCTGGAATTATGTGATTCATATTTTAATTTTTCTTCAATTTTTGTTTTTCCTTATTCATGTTATTTGATCAATGTAATTATACTAGTAGCGTCAAATAAGTTTCATAAATGTTAAATAGCTTACAAGTATTTTAATATTGTATTATATATAGTGATCTTTTACTGATTAATTTTATATAGCTATTTCATACTTAGAGGCGCAATATGCTGCTGAAGTCGAATATATTATTATAACGACTAACACAGTTTTTGCGTCGTTCACGCACACTAGGCGAACCGAAAGTCGACGACAATATTATAAAAGTATTGTGGATTAAGCGGTTTCCGCCAAACATTCAGGCCAAACATATCGACATATGAGAATCGCGGACATTGCGTTAATAGTTAATATACAAATACAATCCACAGATAAACAAATGGATAATGTAATTCACAAATTTCGGAGCTTTAAAAACTGAACTTAAATTTTTGCCATCTTGGATTCGATGGATGCAAAACAAGTTCAAGCTTTCACCCAAGGCGGAAGACACCCAACCTTATTAAGAACGAATGTCGCAAACCCATCTCAGTGTGGTTACTGCCATATCACTGCAATAAATTGTGTTCATTTAAATTTTATATATGCATATATATATATATATATATATATATATATATATTTATACTATACTATACAGTGATACCCCGCCATAACGTACGGCTCGCACAATGGACGTTGCGCATAACGAACCTTTTTTTTTCGGGCGCGAACGTTTCGCACAATGATCTTTTCTTCATACAACGTACTAAATCGTTGCCATTTGTATTCAAAAAAATATGTTGCTCAAAATAATTCAAAGAGCAGACCTTGAAAATCTTTGCTCTGCTGTGAAAATATATTTGTTGGACAAAAAACTCACACTTAAATCATTTCGTTGTTGGGTAATTTACATTCACACCCTAAATGTCTTGAGAAAAATTTGAAAGCGCATGTATATATATATATATATATATATATATATATATATATATATATGTATGTATGTTTAGTTTTGAACGATTATCTGGCTTAATCCATGTTAGCTATTATTATATTTATCTTGCAGGTTCAACTATTAGGTGAAACCAATCAACTGACTGCTCTCGTTGTTAACTTACAAAATTTAAGTCCTGACGATGCATTTTCTTCTATACCTTACATGAAAGGCTCTTTGTTTCTAAGATATCTTGAACAGTTACTTGGTGGTCCATGTAAGTATAAATTTCTTGCATTTTAAAATAGATTTATTTCATATGGAATATTAAGTCAATTCAGATTTTATTCATTTTAGGTGTTTTTGGATGTTTTTTGAAAAGTTATTTAGCTCATTTTGAGTTTAAGTCTATTGAAACAAATGATTTTAAGCAATATTTGCTAGATTATTTTAAGGATAATCCTAAAATTAATGAAATCGATTGGAACACGTGGCTATATTCTCCAGGAATGCCTCCAGCAATTCCAAAGTATGTATCATTAGAACAAGTTCCTACCTCTGTTTTAAAAGCAGTAGTGATCTCTGTGAAATGTGATGATATATAAACCTAAGATTTTCATTTGAGCATGGTTTACTTACATCTGTAGTCAATAAATTGAATTTAAAAGATTAAAATCTTAGATTTAACTTCATCATAATTAACATTTTATTTATTTATTTATAAAATGCATTATTACAATAAAGATGTAATTTTAGGTATGATAGATCTTTACTCAACGTGTGCAAGGAACTTGTTGATTTTTGGCTTAACACTTCTGCTCCTGTTTGTAATCCTCCGGACCACCTGAAAAAAATATCATCTCAACAACTAATTCAATTTTTATCATTATTAATCGAAAAATGCCCATTGGCAATTGAAAGACTGAAAAGATTAGACACAATTTATAAATTAAATATTAGTAAGAATTCTGAAGTTTGTTTCAGATGGTTACGATTATGCATGTTATCTAAATGGGAAGATAAGATTAATGATGCTTTGGAATTTGTCACAAGCGTAGGAAGAATGAAGTATGTTCGACCTTTGTATCGAGACATGTATGCTTGGGAAACGTCACGAGAACGTGCTATTGCTAACTTCAAAAAACATAGAGACAGTATGATGTATGTTACTGCCTACACCGTCTCTAAAGATTTGAATCTTGACTAATTTTTCTTTGAAAAATCAATTATTTAAGAAGTCATTTGTTATTACTGTTTTGAATTGAAATAGTATTGCTTTTTTAATTTTAATAATTTTACTTGTGGTTTTAGTGGATTTACTGAATTGTTACAAAATGAATTAATACTGCATGTTATTGAATAAAAGTATTTTATATACTATAACTAAAACTGAATTGTTGGCATATGTATTTTTAAATTTGAATAAAAGGGGTCCAATTGTACTACTTAAGTAAAAGTACTTTGAGAAAAAAGGTCGTTTTTGTAAACATTTTTGTATTAGCCTTTCTTCTTTTGTGAACAGGACAAGTTTCTGAAATGACACTATTTACTCATAGTTTTTATTCTTGGGTGGGTAGCGGTCTTATTTGTTAACTGGGTGTTAGTGTCATTATGTCATGAGGTATATTATAAAAACTTTTCGATATGTGTAAATAATTGACATAATCAATAAAAATTAAAATTTATCAACTTTTGAAATTGCGACGATAAAATAACTTTGCGTAGGCGCATGATATTTTAATATGTTTGTTAAGCTTATAAACTTTATCATCATAAAAAATCTCAAAATGGTTAGAAAAAAAAGGAAACCTAATTATGACAAAAGGCATATCTTTACAAAAAACTAGCATGATTCTCAACATTTTGAACAGTTTTTGAACTTTTAAAATCGATTCAGGAAATTTGGTCAAAAAACGTAGACGAAACATTTTGCTCTTACTTGCTAATTGTAAAGTAATGAGTTTTAACTGAAGGATTTGAGAGAATGACGACAGGTAACATTTTTGGCTCTTTCGGTGGTTTTGCTTGCTTTCTGGGAAGATAATTTGCAGGTGTATTCATGCATGTTACATAATATATGAGTAACATTTTTTGTGATCACGACTCATGTAATTTTTTTTATCCTCAATTCTTTCATCAATATGCATTTGAAAATTAATTTATTTGCTATATTTTTGTTTGTTTTTATGATGGTTATTAGTGGTAGCTGAAAAGTATTACATTGATTGCATTGCATGAATCGAAGTTTTTGAAATTAGTAAAGAAAAGGAAAGAAAGCTTCCATATATCGCTTCACTTAATAAGTCCGTAGGATAACTAAGAAAACTCATTTTTTGGCAAAATTCTTTTTTTTTATTTTTTTTATCATTTTTTGCGCATCCCAAAAACTGACGCCATAACTTTGCCAACTGATTGGTTGCATTTTTTCTCGTTATTGCGTCTAGTCCACTCGGTTGACTGTCTATTCGACTCCGGAGTGTAGTGTTGAAGCCAAGTCTTATCCATGATGACATATTGATGTAAAAACTTCTTTTTATTTCGATTAAACAGCTCCAAATACTCTTACGAATCATCAACTCGTTATGCTTTTGGTCAATTGTGAGTTTGCGCGGCACCCATTTAGCGCAGAGGTTTTTCCTATTCAAATATTTGTGAACGATATGTCCATTACGTACTATTGATATCTTTAGGGTGTCAGCTATCTCAGGCAATTTTACTTTTCGGTTTTCCAAAACGTTTTGGTAGACTTTTTTTTATATTTTTCGGTGTAACCGCCTCAATTGGCTTTCCGCGTTCAGCATCGTCAGTGTTTGTATGGCCACGATTAAAATCAGCAAACAACTTCTTCACCATCTACCATCTAAGTATTAAGCGATACTTTGGCAGCAATGGTATTTTTACTCATAAAAAATCAATGATGGATCAACCCATGAAATTGCTTTGATTTCATGGTTTCGAAAAACACAAAAGTAGCGTCACTTGAACCTTTGTAACTTGTAATCTAATCGTTGGATTATTAAATTTTGACATAATTATTTTTAAAGTTGTTGCTTCTTACGAATCATATGGATGATTACATAGCTACAGCATTTATGTGTTATCCTACGGACTTATTGAGTGGCGTTATATACTTAGAAATAATATATAAAATGTAACATTACGTTATAATATATTATATTGATAAAAAATGTTATAATATAATGGCATAAAAAATAATAAAATCGCGAATCATAAAATAAAACTGAATCACGAAGAAACATAATTAAGAAATCACGAAGAAATAAAAGTTAAAAAAATGCCATTTGGCGTTCGAAAACCAGATATTTTGTAATTTAACCCTTTCCACTCGCGAATTCTGAGATTTATATGAATTTTGCCGCCGGAACGGCGGCATCCGAGTCGAAAACGTTAAATCAACCGATATGAATGGATATCAAAAACTTATACAAAATTTCTAAAGTTGAGATGAAAAAAATGAGAATAAAACTTCGATTCATCCAATGCAATCAATGTAACACTTTTCAGCTACCTCTAATAACCATCATAAAAACAAACAAAAATATAGCAAATAAATTGATTTTCAAATGCATATTGATGAAAGAATTGAGGATAAAAAAAATTACATGAGTCGTTATCACAAAAAATGTTACTCATATATTATGTAATATGCATTTAAAAAATTTTCTATGCTTTCAAAAATTACCAGTGTTTTTAAAGAAGGCAATTTTTTTTAAATATTTACAAGATTTTCATAAATTAAAAAAAAAATAATTTTCTTTTCTTTCAAATGCGATTATTCTATATAACAAGGAGGTAAATTGTGAACAATTTTTTTCACCATAATCACGTATTCGTATTTCTGAGCTTTCACAAATTTTAAATTACAGCACGGGAAGTTCCAGCATTTGCCTTAAGATACGATCCACGCACCACTCGCAAATTTGAATTTTATTCGCTGTTACACGTGCTTTTAAGTGCGATGCGCTGCTTCCAGTTCGTGTTCTTTCGTTTTGGCAACAGATGCCGTCACCGAGAATCGCAAAGCAGAAAGCACATCCACAATGGTAAAATCGATTTTTTTTGTATATAGCTAAATTGTTAAGTGTAATCAATGGTGTGTATGTTTTAAATGCAAAAGTGAAGATATTTACAGTGCAGTGAGTGTAAACAAAGTAACTAATTAAAAGTAATATATTTATTGTATTTTACTATAAGTTAACACATTGAAAAAATAAATATAAACGCAAGAGGTAAGTAATTCTATAGAATTTTATTTCACAAGCGAATTTTTTCATTCTTTCATAATAGTTTCCCGTTATGTAAAATGTATTATTTTCAATATTTATATTCTGGTATATTAGTAATTGAAACTGAAAAAATGCTACATTTAGAGCATGGCTCTTTATAAATTAGGGACATAGACTATTGATAAGTAGACTAATTCTATAGTCCGAAAATAATAAATGGGGAAATACTGAATATTGGAATAGTGGAAAAAATCATTGTGAAAAGCAAAAGAAACTAGACTGAATTCATATTAAAAACAAAGTGCCTTCGAAGGCAAAGTATTGATACGATTAGGCTGAAGAAGAATGTAGACGATCTACGATTAAAGGAAAAGAGAAAAGGAATGGAAAACCGGAGCATAGGATACGGAAGCGTGATAGTAGAAGTTTGAAAAGAATTTAGACGTGTGAATTATTAAAAAAGTGAAGAAAGAAATTGTGGAATTGGTACACACAAATAAATATTTTTTCTTGCTTAAGCAAGATAATGATTAATTATGAGCAAATTATCCGTATTATTAGCAGTAATAATTTTTGTCTGAAAAACTGACTGATGATACGATTAGGCTGAAGAAGAATGTAGACGATCTACGATTAAAGGAAAAGAGAAAAGGAATGGAAAACCGGAGCATAGGATACGGAAGCGTGATAGTAGAAGTTTGAAAAGAATTTAGACGTGTGAATTATTAAAAAAGTGAAGAAAGAAATTGTGGAATTGGTACACACAATAAATATTTTTTCTTGCTTAAGCAAGATAATGATATAATTATGAGCAAATTATCGTATTATTAGCAAGTAATAATTTTTGTCTGAAAAACTGACTGAATTCTACAAATTTAATAAATGATTATTCTATATAATAAGGATGTAAATTGTTATGAAGAAATTTTATTTTTGCACCATAAGCACGTATTCGCAAATATAAAACACATAGATAAAAACCGGTGAACATGCATAACAGATTTAATATATATATATATATATATATATATATATATATTATATATATATATGACGAAGAGCTGGGTACAAAAGCCCAATTTGACTTTGAATAATTGTAATGTGAATCAATATTACTACAAATAATACATATAAAACAAACAATTATTGGACTTAGTGTAACTCCCAGCTACTTCATCAATGTTAAAATATGTTTCTTTGCTGTTTTTTTTAAATTTGTAACCTGGTTATTTTTACTCCATAGATGGGGTAAATTGGAACTGCCGGGGGGCAAACAGGTTCAATAGCTTATTTTACTTATGAGGGATTTTACGAAACAATACTTGCATTATTCAACTAATGCTAAATATAAATTTTGCAGGTTAAAGGTTCAGTTTGTCCTATAATAGGGGTTATATAAAAAAACGCTTGAATCCAACTTCAAATTAGAAAAACAATTAAAAACAAACAAACAATTAAATGGCGTATACGTAAAAATTATATTAAGTTCCCGTAAACTAATCCACGGTGCTCATAACCAAAACAACTAACAACGAAAGAAAATACTTTCGTTATGAAATTTCAAACATTGCCCTTTATTTCCTGATATCCACGTCGTAAGATTCAAGGTGATTCAAGACTGGCTATACATCTTTTTTTCTGTACTTTACTGGTTATTGAGATATCGGCGGTGAACCTTTAAGCCCCGGTATATATATATACGAGGTGTGTTCAAAAAGTACCCGGAATTACTAATAATTAAATTTCGCGGGTCTGGAGTGTCTGATTGTCAAAATTTTTTTTTATTGTGTTGGTATACATGCCCCTAAAGTATGATGAAATTTTCAGCTATATTCACTGTTTACTTGTCTGTGTGGTAGTCGCTAAGGTTCGACGTGTTTTTCTGAGCTCGGCGATTTTTACAATGGAAGAATTGAAAAGTCAAAGAATTTGTATTAAATTTTGCGTTAAAAAATGAAATAAAGTAAAGTGTTGCAAAGTGCAAAAATTCACCAGATATGGCTCCGTGTGACTTTTTCCTATTCCCAAAGTTGAAGAGACCCATGAAAGGACGGCGGTTTTTCTCGATTGAAGAAAATCGCTGAGAGTGCTCAAGGACATATCAAAAAGTGAATATCAAGGGTGCTTCGAAAATTGGAAAAAACGCTGGCATAAGTGTATTATATCTGGGGGGGACTACTT